GTGGTCAGCAAGTGAATGTGGAAAACTCAACTGTTTTCTTCAGTTTTTTCTTACACGAGTGAAGGAGTGAAGGATGCTATGATGGGGTGCTAGGGTTCATAAAGTGCTATCCAGGTATCGGTCTTTAGGGTTGCCTTTGATTGTTGGTAGAATAAAGCGACAAGAGTTCAAGGCAATTAAAGATAGAATATGGGCTAGGATTTGCTCTGCTGGCGAAGCAATGGTGGAGATTGGCACATAATGAGACTTCTTTATGCTTTCGGTTTCTAAAGCCAAGTATTTCCCTAATAGCTCGCTTATGAATGCTACTTTGGGTACTAATCCATCTTTTTTATGGCGTAGTTTGTTGGAGGGAAATTAGGAGGTTTTGAAGATAGATGGAGTTCAGATGGAAGATTGGAGATGGGGCAATTGTAGACATGTGGCAGGACAGATGGTTAAAAAACCACCTGATTATCAAGCTTCATCATTGGTTCGTCAACAACCCACTCCCATGCATGTGAGCAGTTTAATAGACCAGAGTAGGAGGATTTGGCAACCTGATATGGTGAGGGAGATATTGTATCCTGCAGATGCTGACCTTGTTCTTAACATTCGTCTGAGAAGAAATGCAACTCCAGATTTATTGATACACAATGATGCCGTTTCTTGTCAATTTATGGTGCGTTCTGCTAATTATTATACAGCCAGGAGACTGGTGGGACGAGAGGTAATGGATGTGAATCACAGGTCTCTTCTATGGCGATTGGTATGGCAGTCGAGATTACGTATTGCCTAAGCCCTAAGGTAAAGTATTTCATGTGGCGACTTTTACATGAAAATTTACCTACAACTTTGGCTATCAATCAAAAGGGAGTACAGATTGCGGTTTTATGTCCTGTTTGTGGTCATTCAGGAGAATATTTAATTTGAAACATGTTGTTTTGGACCGCAACTTTAGCAAGGCTGTGTGGAGCGTCGACTTTTCAAGGCTAGTGGTGTTTGAATACTGCCTGTAGGTTTGCTGGTTGATATGATAGCATAGAAACACAGATGCCTTCATGATTAGAATAGCTGTGGAATACCTTCCAATGTTAGCTGTGGTTAGAAGTGAGGGTAGCAGCCATGTGTGGACCAATCATTATTATGCAAAAAGATAATAAAAATAATTTTAATTGAAAATTAAGAAACATGGATTATATAATTTATTTATTTGTGATTGAAAATAATTATGAAGTTAATGATCCTAACAATGGCTTCTGTCATGGATGGTCCAAACCCCTTATCGTCCTTGAATTACTTAAGATATACCTAATATACCAACTTGCTCTTCAATCTTTTTCTTTTTCATCTAATTTTCAAAAAAAAAAAAAAATGTAATGGATTTTTTTTAAAACTATTAATTACACTTTTTTTTTTTGCAAAAATGACATTGTGATTATGAAATATTTTTGTTGTAAAAAAATAAAATTTAAATTGATTTGTTAATTAATTATTCATCTTTGACATCCAACATGCATATTGTTTCCACTTACTAAGGTACCAAACAAACTTACCATAAAAGCCAGTCCACAATTCTGAAATATTAGGCATTTGTTCTTTATGGCATGCATGTCGAATATTCAAGTTATCAAAACTAATTTGTAATATTATATTCGATGCTCACAATATTTGTATTCAACCAAATTATAAGAATATTCTAAAGTTAAATCTTCATTATATATACATTTAAATTAATGTTGAATAAATCCTAGAAATAGCCATTAGTCATAGTATTAATAAAATATCATCTATGTACATATGTTCATTGTGTTGATCATAAACAGCATGGAATTTATTGAAAAATTCAATTTCCATAATTTTCCTAAGATGAGACACGTGAATGCCTCCAACATGTTTTTTTGTCCTCTTTTTACTCGATTTCAACGTTAATTAATGCAATTTTTTATGGTACATAAAAACCAACTAATCTCTAAGACCTAAGAACTTGATTATTGAGGGAAAATTGAAAAAGGAAAGAAAAAATGGTGAGGAAATTGAAAGGAAAAGGACAAGCAATTGGAGCAAGGCCATATAGCTTCGATATCAATTTTGCATGGAACATATGAAGACCTAACAGAAAACCCCAACAATCAACAAAATTGGAAAAAAACACAGAATCAAAAGGGGTCCCGTCAGACATTTGCAAATATAGATATAGATTAGCCAGAGGCTTTTAGATCACAATAATAATAATAATAATAATAATGAAAGTCTTTCGAGTGGCGAAGACGAGCTCCTAGGTGGTCCACCATGCATATTGTGATTCATGATCTACTTATGTTCCCATTAATATTCCTTTCTCTTAAGAAGTGAACCCTTCGACTTTTTTTTTTTTTGTTGTTCTATCTCCTTGATCTTGTAATAATGTTCAGGTGCTGTTGTCGAGGCAAGAGGTCACAAAAGAACTGTGACAGGACAAAGAAAAGAAAATGATTTTAGGGTCCTGACAAGGTGACTGATTAATTGGTTGTTTTCACGAACTTCCTGTGAGAATTAGACCGTTTGGGTTGGAACAAAACAGCAAGGTTCCCTCATCCACTGCAACCCTGCCAGCTCTTCAACTTGTAAACAAAACTGTGGTAATTATTAACTATATCCAAAAGGTTTTTCGAGGTTTGTCGTTGTACCAGAATCATGACCGACAGTTAAATATATTGTTCTGTCAAACGAATTGATGTTTTTGTAGTTGTAATGAAGTTTGTCGACGTATCCAATATTCAAGTAGTTTTATTGGAAAAAGGTTTTGTACATCTTCAATCCAAATCCAACAAGATTAAACAATGCATGTTGTTTATGTTGGGACTTGGTTTTTCTTTTTCTTTTTTCTTTTTTTTTCTGTAAATTTGGGGGTGTTCAATAACATCAATTTAAATGTGTATCAAAATTATTGGATGATTTTATTTTGAAAATGTTAAGAGTCAAAGATACCATGCATGATAAATATAATGCATTAAAATGATGACTTGGCAGTTAAACCCCATGTATGTTATTTTTAACTAACCCTAGATTGAAAACCTTGGCTCCACTTTCTTCTCAAAGCAGAGTCATCCCTTAATGTGTGATAATACACTCAATTTGCCAAGTTTATGACCAAACAAGTCATTCCGAAAGGCAAACAAATATAAGTAACAGGAAACAATCTGATTATAGCTTCCCAATTACTGCATGAAAGAAAGAAAAAGAAATGCTCAATTCCCTTTACACGTGATACATGAAGAAATGCAGTTAAGTGTTTGTTTTGTTTTTCATAGTAGGGGGGGGGGGGGGGTTGGCAAAGCCAAGATGTTAATAATCAGTGGAAAGGCCAATGCGACTGACCGACCGACTCAATGGTGAGTCAAAATAGCCACCTTACACAACCAATAACAGGAGCTGAAATTTATTGATCGATGTTTGATGTTTGAATTAATTGGTATATGAGATGAGATGACATAACAAAAACTGCCTTAATCGTTTAGTAGAAGCGGAGGAAGTTTGTTTTGTTTGGAGAAATGTGAGATTTTTTTTTTGTTTTGTTTAAAGAAGAAAAGGGAAAGCGGGAGCAGCAATCAATGCAAAACTGAAAAAATGATTCACTGACGTTTTCTCGCAATTGGTTTTCAGAGGTGCCCTTTTCTTCTTCTTTTTTTTTTTTTTTAAATGAAGTGCGATTGAACGGTCAAGACTGATTGGACGGTTAGAAATCATTCTTTGGATAACTTTGATCATCTATCTGTCATCACCTATCATTTTTTTTTAAGGTAGATTGATATTTGATAGGTAAGGAAAAAAAAAAAAAGAAAACTATCAAAAGGAGATAAAAACATGACAGCAGAACAGCAGCGGGGGGATCTTATGCTGTCAGAAACCAGAATATAAATACCCCATTGCATCATCATTTCAAAAAGATTTGATTGGGGGGTGGGGGTGGGGAGGGTGTTACAAACTTTTAAAGCCTGGAGCTGAGCTAGCCCTTCTAGACATAGATGGGTTAAAAGACCTTTTTACTAGAATAACAGAAACAGGTAGATTGCTCTGGTCTCTGAGATTCTGGAAGAAGGAAATGAACACTGAACTGAACAGGGAGGAAATGAAAAAGAAAAAGAAAATGTTGGTGGAATGGAAGATTTGGTAATTAGGCCAAACTTCAGATTTTGTTAGAACACTTTTTGGGTATCAAAGAAATTCATGATGATGATTAGAATCAATTGGCAGACATGTCATTCATTTTTCCAAGCCAGTGAACAATTTAGACTAATGAGTTTAGTTAAAGAACATTGGGGTCGTTGTTAATCCGCAGGTTTCTGGGAGACATCTATGTAAAGACAAGTTCCAGATTTGTATTATTCTTGCTCATTAATTCTTGTTTCTGTTTTTATTTGAGAAACAAAGCAATAAACCCATTAATTGGACTCTCTGCAATTCATTTCATTTCCTCTCGCTGTCCCTTGGGATCATTCATCCTTTTAAATCTCAACTAGATTTCTTTGCTGGACATTCATCCTTCCGACAGAACTGCAGAACCGATCTTTTTTTTTTTGGTTAATACAGTTCCATAAATATAGATTAAGGTGTTATTTTAAGTAAAGGTTAAAAACAACACCAGCCTAAGCCCAATGCTGGTCTGAGTGCTAGCTTTTTTTTAGGGATGTAAACGATAGTAATGTTTGTGTACAAATTTGTAAACATGTTCGGTGCATCAACCATTTGTAAATATATTTAATTTTTTTAGTTTGAATAATATTTCAAGATTCATTAATAAACAAACAAATTATAAATATAATAAAATTCGTTTAATGTTTAATTTGTTTATAAGATAAAAATATAACAAACATATTACGAATATAATAAAATTTATTTAATTTATTTATAAAATAAAAATGTAAGTAAAGAAAGCATTTAACAAACAATTTATAAACATATTGGATTTCTATTTATTTATATTCATTTATTAAATTTCATAAACAATCATAAAAAAATATTTTAAGATTTATTAATTAATCAAATCGATGGCAAACATAACAAAATTCATTCAATTTATATACAAATTTTTTTTCAAAGTTAAATTGGATATAAAAGAATTACATATCATTCATCATAAATCAAGAACCAAGAGTAACATGTCTTTATCAATAAATGTTGGAAAAAATGTACTTAAATGCTAACGATGCTCCTTGTATGCTGAGGGACACGACCAATGATATGTACCTCACTTGAACTTGCTTTAGAAGTTCAGTTCTGGAAATTTGTCTTGTATTCTGTATCAATAGAACTCCGTTAAATTTCTGTATTTTGTTACAGTTAAAATTCCTCCATCGAAACCCAATTCTTGGGTAACAATCACATCATCAGATACGAATTGAGAAGCAAGAGGATGGGAAAAATAATATTCTTCTATTGTTTTCTAAAACCTTTTTAATCTACTTACATTGTTGTTTTTGTCATGGGGCATCCCAAACTTCTTGGCCCAGTGGATGTGTGCCTGCCCCATATCTCGTGAAAAAATTGCAAAAGAATCAAGAAGTAAGACAGGCAGCTTGCGCTTAGTCAAGGAGGTGATCAGAAGGGATTTGGCCAAAAATATCAGGACATGAATCCCACTTCCCCTGCTCTCTAGCCTCCCAATATCCACCAATGTATTGATACGAGTCACTGCCTTTATCCTTTGCAAACCACCTTGGCTTCCAACCTCTCTCTTGCATCTTCCGAGCCTGAATCCCAATTGAAAATATCCAATGAGACCAAATACAACCATAAAGCTATTTGCTAAATCCTTTAACCATAAGGCCATCAAGAAAACAAAACCCAGGTTTCGCTAAAAACCTCCATAGGGTTTACCTGCAATATAACTAAACTGATAACAAGCATCATAGTGAGGGTTCTAAACAAAATTATAGTTGTGATAGCACTTATATTTTTTATTTTTTGGCCATTAGGTAGCACTTTGGATGTTGAGAACTGTTTCATTAATTTATAAATCCAGATACTGTTCCTTGAATTCCAACACTGGAAAGGAAAGTCACAATAAAGTCACCTAGTAGTTCGTTCATTGAATAATTTAGAGAAACTAGCACTCAAGATGCGATAGGTTGTGACTTCTAACTTCTAACTGCTCTTGCCGCCCGGTTTTGATCACAAGAAAGTGGGCTTTTTAGTAATCAACAAAAAATGATAATCTAAATTGATTTCATGCACAGAATCTAGGATAAAATCTCTGCTTATGATGCATAAGGTTGGAAAGAAGAAAAAAAAAGCAACTTAAGACATGGTTTACATTGATGGGCAGGTTGGGCAGGTCCTATTGACATCATAGTCGGCAGTTGGGTCAGCAGCTAGATGAGTTATGAGACAACTTTCAAGAACATGTCTTGCCAGAAGATATTGTTGTTTCCACAATGATGCAGTGCACTGGTTTTTTAATGTATCTCTACACGTTTGGCTCAGCTCATATATTCTCCATTCAGTTACCAGAAGATCAATCATTCAGAACAAATTGAGTTAATGTAAAACATTAAACATTAATATTATATCCTGCTGCTATACCTTCATATGCACCACTCATGGTTTATACATTTACTACATTATTAGTTTTTGCTGGTCAGTTTTTAAAAGGTCTCGAATGTTTATGTCATTAAGGTTTTATTCTCAACTAGGAGCCTAAAACTTGGAATGAGCAAACCACAACTTTGGTTTATGTGTTAGCTTCATCGTTTCCTAAAAAAGCAAACAACGAAAAATTTCATGGTCATCTGTGTTCCTCACTAACCAACACACCGTCTAAATGTAATTATATATCACTTGTTCCTTGACACTCTAACTCATCCCTGGCCAATTTGCACCATCGACACATGGAATTGACAACAAAGCAGAAAAGAATCCTAAAACTTACCTGTCGTTGCCGCTGCTCCAACCGCAACTTCTCTGAATTCGCCATTTCATACTCCCCATTTTCCAGATACCTTTGATCAGGTCTCAGCCTTGAGTCTGTAGGAGGCAACTTTTCCTGCATACATTAAGGAGATTATAATCAATGTCACAATTACCGCAAAGCAGTTCATAGGGTATCTAGACTGTGCATTGGTTTCAAATCATTCCATTTCATTCTTATAGATTCAAATGGACACATTTAATTCAGTCTTTACTTAGGACCAAAAAATTCATTACCAAAAGTCAAATTATTAGAACATAGAAGCACCCAAGGGAGGTGTCCTTCAAAGCACTAGTTATAATATTGCAATTCAAGAATTGGGGATAATGCAAAGGAATATATATATATATATATATATATATATGTATGTATGTATGTATGTATGTATATGTATGTATGTATGTACACATACATACATACATACATACATATGCGCGCACACACACACACATATATGTCTTTGCATAACTCCCTGTATGTGAAAGAAATGACATAAACAAGAATGGAATTTTCATACCAACACTAATGGCGTTAGATGGATGCCTAGTTTATAAATCCAAACAAACCTATTATAATAATAATCACCTTTAGACCAGGGGTGAGCTCATTCAATGTAATGGCAAAACGTGTTAAGTTATATCTGGTGGGATATTTAGAAGGCTTGTTCCGCTTCCAAAGCAGATGGGTTTCTGATAAAGACTCTTGTCCTTTTCCCTTTGCAGAAGAATCTCCATTCACATAATGCATGCTCTCATCCCATTTTCCAAATAATGTAGCCACTGTCTTTCCATTCCTATCTTGAGCTATACCATGCACCTGAAGTGCAACAAAGTTTTATAAACTATAAACTGATAAATGTCAATGATGGTTAAAAAGAGGATAATAGAACATTATCATAATTCTATTAAAATAAGAGTTGATATAATTTAGTAAATAAATTATTTTGAGGAAGATGAAAGATCACCTGGTGAGGATTTCTATCAATGATAGATTGCTCCTTGAATTTCAGCTTACATGAATATTCACGATTCCCCTCAATTCGCATAGTACCATAGTGATCACAATACAACTTTCCCAGTATAAGGTTGTATATTGATGTTGTCACCTGGCAAAAGAAAGATCATTTCCAAATTTTATACAACAAATATGTGTGTATGTACATATATATTTGTTCTTTAACTTTTGGAGTTATACCTTACTCCACCGGAACACTTCTCCATCCTCAAACTCCAAGGTCAAAACACCAACAGGATCAAGCTGAATTGAGCGACCCCAAAATTTGCTCTTTAAATTGCTATCACCCCACAATTTCCATCCTGTACCCTGACAGTGACATGCTACAATCATAGGATGATGACTGACCTGACACCAAAAATGGAATAATTATCAGCAACTTCATAGATAATATTAAAACAGAAGCAAACAAAATAGGATAAAGAGATGAACTCGGGGAAACAAATACTAAGCAGTGTGCTGTTCTTTTCCCAGTACCCTAAATAATGTAAAAGGATATTGATGCCTATTAACATTCCCATTTGTTAACACTTGTTTCAAATTATGAGATTCAAAGTCTCTGGCACACACTCATGTTTCCCTTCCCCAGTAATTTGACCATAAGGATGTCGTTTCCACCAATGGATAGGAAGCCACTAGCTTCATTTATAGTTAAGCACCCAAACAATATCATTTTAGGTGATGATCTACTAACTGTGCTTCCTTATTCCTTACCACCTATTTATTTGCTCTACTGAGGTTGAATCTAAACCAAAGTTTTTAACATAGCAAGTTTTTCTATGAGAATTAAGACCAAAAATAAAAACGAAGCAGCAGAAGAAAAAAAAAGAGTAGGCTAAAAAAGGAAATCCTCACTCTGCCTTTCTGTGAACCTAAGGATCAATAATATACTAAATTTGCAAAGCTCATGCAGTAAAGCAATTTTAACATCAGGCCTAGCAAACTAGGATCAATGTCACTTTACCGTACTAACAGGTGAAATGATCTCACATAGAAAGTGTGAAGTCAAAATTAAGGGCAATATTCTTATGTCTGAGATTTACACGTGAAAAATGTTTTAAATTTTGTGCATATTGAATTTGATTGTTGAAGCAACACTCTGGGTTGACCAGGAGAACCAGGCATTTTTTTCAATCAAAGGTTAGCCTTAGAAGTGAGGTTAATATGCTTTAAAGTTTGAATGACAATTTGTGTAACTGCAGAAAAAGAAAAAGTAGACAATGATAGACTATCTTGAGTACAGACAAACCTTCTCTGAGAAGAAGCGTACACCTTTATCTGGGAAGTCAGCCTCATATGTTTCCCCTAATAATGGATTAAACGGTTTGCAAATTCTTCCTTCTGTTGAAGAATATCCAGACACAGCAAATGCAGCCACATTAAGAATTCTCATGAGGTTATTACCCTGCAAGTTTTTGACGGAAAAATTATGAGTTTCAGGGGAATCTTACCAAAGATTCTGACTGTCAAAGTTTATGAAGGGAATGAACTGCTGTAAGCATTGCAACTAGCCTTTTGCATGGTCAAGTATAAAATAGGTGTAAAAGAGAGAAAAAGAAGTTGAAAAATCAAATAAAGCCCACATGTATAACTACATTTAAGCAGGAAGTGATGTTGTGATAGATAAATATTATAGTAGGAAAACTTTGTGTTACAACCAATGCTCTGTTCTCTAACACAAAATATTACGGAGTTCAAAGACTTACCCTTTTCCCCCATTCATCTGCACGGTCAAGCAGATATGAATATTCCAAATCCTCAAAGCACTTTTGAAGAGAAGAGAGAGGCTCATTGAAGTAAACAGGAAGACAAACTTTTGTAAGGTCTTTCCCAATATTATCCTTAATCATTGACCAAAGACTTACACCTTTCTCCCTTTCAACTGGGTCAGGCAACTTTTTTCGCCGTTTAATGTAAGGAAAGTTACTTTCAACTGATTTGATGTAGGTGTCAACGTCATCTTCAGAAGCAACCGCATTAATACCTTCATCATCTGAAGAGAAAGATGATGTCCGGAAATCAGATCCACTGCTTTTGAAAGAACTTGACGACAAAATGTCAAGAGTGTCAAAGAAAATATGGTCATCTTCATCAGTTTCTTCTTCTGCAGCGTCAACTCTTTCATTATCATCATCTGTGTCAGTTACACTTCCTTCTGATTAAGAATTTGAACAAAAAGAAAAGAAAGCAAAATCAATGAATCTGTGTCAGTTACACTTCCTTCTGACTAAGAATTTGAACAGAGAGAAAAGAAAGAAAAATCAATGAAAGATAGCAATGCTATGAAAATAATAAAGTAATAACAATGACTTGAATGTTAATGAAACCAAAGAAGACAGCATATACCATTTATAAAACCCAGCAATCAGCACTATAACTATTTTTAATAAGTCAGAACCAGAACAGGACAAGCATGGGATGTGGCTGTGGCCCAATGATCATGTACTCTCCCTTAAGGGAGGGAAGACCGTGGAGACCACGTCTAAATCCTGCTCCTGCCTATCTGGGAGTGCATCTCTATACTTAATGTTGTATAAAATAAAGGGAGAAAAAAGCACAAGAAAAGGGATACAAAGCCAAGATAATGACATGAAATTGAAAGAAAGAAGAATAAACTTATTAAATGGAACAAGTAACAAGCACTAACAAATATGACGCACAGACATGAACCAACTAATAGTTTAGTAATGTAAAAAGGAAGTCCTTTATTTGAATTCAAGTAGGCAAGGGCAGTTTGACAAGAAACCATACAGACGTGTGCTATACGTAAAAACCACCTCAAGATATATGAACCTCTCCTTAACAAGCATTATAAGTTGTCTACAAACAAGCACAGGTAATACTCAGGCACATAACTAATGAAACAAAAAAGAATTTCCTGAACTAATAGCAAATTGTGAACATTGATTATAAATACCAACCACATGTCTCAGCGTATAAGAAACAATTCAGCATAAATTAGCTTACGGAATAACAGCTATAATAAATAGTTTGACTGCCTGATATCTTACCACTAGACTTGTCTTGCCTTATCATAAGGGAAGCCCCTAGATCATTTAACTTGTTTTGGCTCTCATCTACCACTGTATTCTCCAGATCAACTTTTTCTGTCTACAAAATTAAGTACAAATAGCAGTTTCTCAGCAGAAGATTGCAAAAAGAAGAATTAAAACCTTTGTTTCAGAAGTTAATCTTTACGGATAAGAGCAGTTATTGAGTGAAAATAAGTTGCTATGGTTCACTTTAAAGAAGTAAGATAAAAAAAATATGTATTGCAGATAAAGCCAAGCACCTTTTTTGTGCATGCATATTGCTGCAATACCAAAAGACAACGATTTCACTATAGAAAAAAGTAAAATGAAACTCAACCACTTTAAGGTGCCTTACAACTTGCAGGACTCCTGAGATTCTAATGAATAACTAATAACCAAGGCAAAAGCTACCTCCCTCAACATGCTTATGAACAGACCAACTTCTTGCAGTGTTGTAACCCTCTTGACAGGCAATTGATGCTTAATCCATTCCAAATACCAGATGCCAGGCCATAAAACAACAGAATTGTAGATGTTGAGAAAGGGGAAAGTAACCTTTTTTTAAGAGTTAATTAAAAGGCCAAAGCTGAAGTTAGTAAGCTTCCAATTACCTATATATTGTACATGTTGACAATCTCAAAGAAAAACCACATAACAAGGACACTCCATTAAAGAGAAAGTCTAACCTTAACCCACCCCCAACCCCCCCTTCCAAAAAAAAAAAAAAAAAGCCACCAAGAAATATGAGAATTAGGCTTTTTTTGTGTACTCAATGCTACTTGGTCAGAAGAATGCTCGGTTGTGATTAAAGTATATCAACTGCTTGTCAAGGAACTAAAAAATTCTTCTATCATGAAGCAAAAACTTCAGAGTATTTAAAGGCCATACTCCTCTAATTTGCTCCAATCAAGTAACCCACCCCAAATATCACTGATCCAACCACCAGCACAATTTCTACTGTCACACCATCAATGCCATCATCAAGATTGCCACAAGCCCCACAACAAATGTCTCACAACTATTGACATCTATTTTATCTTAAATCAATCATGCTACCACCAATGATTAAGTAACTTCCTCAAAAGACAGACATATAAGATCAGACTCATCCCAACTTCTATGAAGTATTAGCAAGAGGTATTACTGGCAACAACATACAATAACAAGGCATATTAGCAGAAAAGCTTCCAAATTACATTTTGCCTTAAATAAAGATAAGTAGCCAAATTAAAACTTTTTTCCTTTTAAAAAAGCAAAATATCATCAAAATATTCCTTCATGGAATAATTGTCTAATTGAAACTGGCATTCAAATACATTTCTAGTTAGAGAAACCAATTACCATGAGTCATCCCTAAAAATCAAATATTCCAGCACTGCAACATCCAAAAATGTGCTTAAGATAAATTTAAAATATTTTCAAAAATTACGTGCAGCTATTTTGAATGCTAATAAAAGTTCAATTACCAACATCATTCTATAAACATCAACAATTGAAAATCAATAGCAACCCTTCATGGACAAACACATACACACTTTCGAGGTACATACAAAGAAAAACTCTACTGGTCCTCGTCTCAACAATATCCATCTGCCCCACAGAAGGATTTCAACAGTCAACCAGAATTAACTAGCTTTAGACCAACTACTTTTCTCTATCAGATGAAATTAAAGGAAATAGTAATCTAAAGGAAGATGACATAATTGTTCAAGATTAAAAATACTTATGAAATTTTATTTGAAATATTATTAAATGTCACCTCTGGTTTAGACAAATCCTACATCAACTAACCCTTCTCCAATAGAAATTCAACAAACACCAATCACGAAAAGACACAAATATATCTTAAAAACCACACCATTTCATAATTTCTATACAAAAGAATAAAATAAAAAGGAATAGCGAATCCAAGTAATTCTTTTGAAACAACCAATCAATTTTTTCAAATTGAATGACGACTGGAAGCAGCGTATTATTTTCTAAATTTTGATAACATATACCTCTAACTGACGCAAGGTTTCGATCAGAAGCCATTGTTTCTGTTTAAGCAACACCAGCTGGATCTGCAACGCTGAGAATTCACCCCTCATAATCCGCTCGGTATCTTGGATAGCCGATTCGCTTACCCCTTCTTGCAACAGCCGCTGCCTCAACTTCTCCGTAGAAACCGCCACATTGTCCATCGGAGCCATGAGCTCGCTATTGGACATCCTAGGGAACATATCCTTAACCGCCTGAAGCGCCTCCATCCACGCAACCCGATCGTCCCGCGTCTCGGCTCGTAAATGAAACCTCTTAGTTCCGGTGAAGATCGAGAATCTCTTATCATCTGATCTGCTTTCCCTTATAGAGGAAACCTGAGAAAAATTCAAAAATTCAAAAATCGAATCAAATTTGTTTTTCTTTTTCCTTTATTCATTTATTTTTGGTTAATCATTTTTCTTTATTTTGACCTTGAGGTGGACTTCACCAAAGGGTTTGCGACGGCTTTGGGAATGATGAGAAATGGAATTGCGATGGCGGGAGATAATACGGAGAGACTCTTCGCCGATAACTTTGGATCCTTTTTCCGTTTCTTGGCTAACAACTATCTTATCAGGTCCGTGTATTTTATAATATGATAAAACTCCGTCTTGCAAAACGAACCATCTCGGTCTCCAACCTTTCCCGTAATTCACCCATTTGTAAAGCACTCCCGATATCCCGTTCCCTACGATGTCGTTTATCTTCACATCCACTTGTGGCGGAGGAGCAGGAGCCGTCGCCGTCATAACCTCTCTTCCCAACGATGTCCCGTTTCTCTGGCTCATCCGATTCAAATCCACGCTACTATTAAGATGATGTTGACTGTGATGGTTTTGATTGGACTGGCACTTGAATTGAACCGTGGATCGGGCCGAGTTGGATCTGGAGGCTGGAGCGGAAGAGGAAGTGGTTGGTACGGTTGTTACAGGAGGAGGAGGCATGGAGATGACGTGGTCGCGTAAAGGCTTGACTGGGGAATGATCGGATACGGTTGAAACACAGCAAAAAGGATGCATAGGGCCAGTCGTTCTTTTGTTTTTAAAAGAATGAAAGAACTAAAAGATTCTGGTATTGAAAAAGGCAGACGTGACGCCGGAGCAAGGCGGTTGCAGTTAAACTTTTCATGGTTCTCTTGTTTCCTTCTTAAGTTCTTGAATTGGCTTTTATGAAAGACAAAGAGAGAGTGAAGACTTCTTTTGTTTTTTTTTTTTTTTGAACAATTTGTGGAGACAACTACAAAATGACACTCAAAAAACAATGGTGTTTTGAGCAAAGGAATTGCCGTTGGCGTGTAGTTTGACGGAGTAAGCCGAGAGAGACAGAGAGAAAGAATCCGGTGAGCCTGGTTACGGTTTGGCTGGGTAAAAACTTTCTCAACCACGACGCAACAACAACGTTGATTTTAAGAAGCTGAAATCAGAGAAAATAAAAAAAAATAATAATAAAAAACTCGAGCGGACATTTAATAAAAAAAAATAAAAACCCAACTCGATCGGTCGTTGGCGAAATATTTAAGTTACTAGAAGGAGGGGTTTGGTTAAATGAGGGAAGGAGTAGCGAAAGGGGAGAGCCGGCGGCGCAGTGAGAGGAAGAAAGGTGGAGAAAGGAGATTAAAGACACGTGGATTAAAATGAATGGCTGGAAAAGAATGACGGGAACTGAGCTGTAAGTAGGCTTAAAGAGGGGCATGAAAGATGCTCTGGCCTAAAAACGATGAGTTCCGGTGACTGATCCTAAAGGATTAGGCTGTGAGCGGTGGTCCTATTTAATGCTGCTCTCGTGCACGATCCCTTTCACCGAAATGTTGAGAGTGTTTTTTTTGGCCAATAAATGTTAACTATTTTTTCATTTTGAAAATGAAAATTGAAAATCTTTTAGTTTTGCACTCAGTTTAACATTATAACTAAGTTTTAAAAAGGTAATTAAACTACAAATGAATGTCGACTTAATTAATTTTTTTCATTTGAGTGTGCAGTAAGCAATAGCTAAATCAAAATGTTGATTAGCGATTTAACTTATATACAAAATACTTAATTTATTGGTAGAATACATAAATAGTCACTTATTTTTAGATTATTTTTTATTTTAATAAGTCAATTATAAAAATTTATATTTTAGTAACTAATGTTTGAGTATTTTTTTTTTATTATTCAATTATTAGTGTTTAACTAAATGTTAAAAAAACACTCATATATTATATCTTAATTGTCTAATTAACATATTGATTATCGATTGCTAAGTCAACGATCAATTCAACAGATTCAACACTTAAACAACATTAAAGCTAATAACTGATTAGCCATGTCAATTGCTCAATAATCATGTCAATACCAATCCATTATAAAAGATAAAGTCGAAACACAAACATCCCATTTTGAATTCTGTACTCACTTTCACTTGCTTTCTTGCCTTCTTCTTCTCTTTACCTTCTTCATTTACCATACTTTGTTGACTTAATGTCATAACGTACTCCAAAGTTGTACTTTTGACACTCCTCGTTTGTTCCTAATAGGTTAATCTAATCTTTGAGTCCGTCATCAAATCAGTTTCTAACAGAAACGTCCAGTCATCAAACCCAAAATACCTTCAATACCATGTAAAATGTCAGTGATCATATGACATGATCATTTTATAAAAAAATCACATGATTACAATGATGTGGCATAAAAATGAAAATTAAAAAATAAATATTTTTTCTTTTCATCTTCTTTTTTTAATTCACACATAAAAAATAAAAGAAAAAAAATAAGGCTAACTTAACTAATAAAATCTTTGGGAAAAAATCGTAATGATACAGTAGTAATTATCATCATTTCATACCTCTAGAATCAATGTCCCTATCCAAAGTACTAAAAACTCTAATCAAAGTTCCTTTACTATTCGGAGTAACCAAGACCTTGCCATCGTGAGCACCTGACATTCGAACTGTGGGCATTTATAAATTTACTCATTTTACTTCCATAATTCTCTAGTCTCACTGTTTCCGTTTGCCAACCTGAGCAAACCAATACCACGAACTTCAATGCAAGGAAGCCGCGATCGGTAGTGGCGACGAAACAAGTGTTATCTTAGTTGAATGGAAGCTGATGGATGGTTGGTGAAATTTGTTAAGTATTTAATTTAAAATTAATTGGTAGTAAGTAAAAAAGTTTAATTTGAATATAAGATTATAAAAAATTAATATTTATTAGATACGAGATAATACTATTTTAACAATGTTTTCATCATATGTAGACGAAGATAGAAGAAACTTATCACATTATTGATTTAGAAATGGTGACAGAAGAAAATTTTGACTCTGATACTATGTTAAGCATCAACTTAAAACTAATTAACTGTAAGTAAAAAGTTAACTTAAATATAAGATTATAAAAAATTAGATATTTATTAAATGTGGCATAACATCACTTTAATAAGCCCATATCTTGTGTAAGCAAAAATGAAAGAAGCCTATTATGTGGGCAAAAATGGAAGAAACCTATTATGTGATAGATTTAAAAATGACAATAGAACGTAATCCTAGCTATAATACTATGTTAAGCATCTAATTTAAAATTAATTGACAGTAAGTAAGAGAGCTCAAATTGAATATAAGACTACAAGAAATTATATATTTATAAGAAAATCTTGACTCTGATACTATGTTAAACATTCAACTTAAAACTAATTGCTAGTAAATGAAAGAGTCTAACTTAAATATAAAATTACAAGAAGTTAGATATTTATTATATATGAGATAATACCACTTTAACAAAATTTGAGCTTGGGTTAGACCTGAGGATGAGTTTAGGTTAGGTTTTGGAAAGGTTTTAGTGGGGGTTTGAAAAAAGATTGTTATTGCCTAACAATTTCTCATATTGCAACGGGGTTCGTGTAGGGATTTAGAGATACATATGTTTTAACATAATAATCAATATCAAGAGAATTTGTTTACTTTAAGCTCAAAATTTGCTTCTAAAATAGTTCAATTTAACTTAGAGACATGGCATTTAATGGATGGAACAAAAAATCAAACAAGCATGATTTGAAGCAGTGGTAGGTGATGAAGGCGAAAGCCGTGAGATCAGCCAAAATTCGTGTTTGGAATTATTGAAATTTGATTTTAGGGTTGAAGAAAATAAGAGAGTTTTAGTAGTAAGAGAAAAAAATAAAATGAAGAAAAATATTAAGATTTTAAATTATGTATATATGTTATCTCCATATTGTTATGTGTATTTTTTTGTTAATATGATCATGAAATTTGATCATTAATGTTATACGTGGCATGCTCTATTAGTATTTTATTAGACATTAAGGCTTAGTGCGAGTAAAAATGGGCCTTAAATCACTCATCTATTTTTAGCTGACGATAGTTTGCTATTTCTGAAAGTAAACCAATATAAATATGGAATAGTGAGGAATATGATAAGGAGATATGAAGAAGGTTCAGGCCAAAGGATTAACATGGAGAAATCTTTGATATTTTTCTATAGAAATGTTGGTGAGAAAGGTAGAGAAGGTGTGAAACAATTATTAGAAACGCAAGAAACTCTCGATCCTAATAGATAGCTAACTTTACCAATTATGCTAGAGAGAAATAAAAAGGCAACCTTTAAATAAATCAAAGACAGATTCTGGTCCAAGATTGCAATGTGGAGTAGCCATATTTTATCCATGAGGGGCAAAAAGATTTTTATAAAGGCAATGCTTCAAGTAATACCAACATATAGTATGAGCTATTTTTTTTTCTCGAAAAGTTTCTACCATGACTTAACAACTTATTTAGTGCTTATTGGTGGAGCGTAAAATAAGATAAAAGAGGCATTCATTGGCTTCGGTATGACAAAATGTTTATGAGCAAAAGGGATTAAAGAATGGGATTTAAACATTTTGAACTCTTAAACCGGGCACTCCTAGTCAAGCAAGGGTGGCGACTGATCCAAAATAAAGAATCTCTTGTCTATAAGATGCTCTGTGACAAATAGTTCTTTTATGGTAATTTTCTGAAAGCTCAACTAGATAGGAATTCCTTTATGACTTGGAGGAGTATATGGACGGTAATGGATGTCTTAAAACATAGGCTACGATAAAAAAAAAAAGGAATATAAATATATGGGAGGACAACTAGTTGCCAGATAACATATCTCTTACCTTAAAAAGGAATGCTCAAGGTATACAGGGAATAGACACAAAAGTTGCCACCTTGATTGGTAGCCATAAAAAATAATGGAAAGAGGAGTTTATCAAGTCAATTTTCTCAACTAAAAATGCTAATGTCATTTTGCAAAATCCCTCTGGCACGAGGATACCATGCAAACATACAAACTTAAAGTTTAGAAAATATGTTGATTGCTGTAAACAATACAACAGGTGGGGCACTAAACCAAAAAAAAAATACATGGTTGGAACAAGCAAGAAGATCTTGGGACATACTATAGGAAACTAAATTCCTAAATAAAGTTAGGATATTTGGATGGAAACTAAACCACAGTTTTTTGCTAGCGTTTAGTAACTTGAAAATTAAAGGCTTTGACGTATCACTAATATGCCCAAGATGTGGCCAGTAGGATGAGATTGTTGCTTATGCTATACAGGAGTGTGAAACCGTGAATGAGATATGCAGAAGAGTTGGCATTTCACTCAAGTGGAGGGATGTAGTATTAGAAATAGTGACTCAAATCCTATAACAAATTTGTTTGAGATTGGTTAGATATCACTTGATGGATAAAAAGATTTACAAAAAAAAATTTTAAGAAAAAAGAGATTTTAAAAGGTAAGTTTAACTTACAGAAAAAGAATTTTAAGAGAAAAGAGATTCTTAATAGGCAAGTTTATATGGTTATAAATAGGTGAAGTCTCTACAGGGTTAGGTATAAAAAAATATAAAAAAATTATAAGATTTTATGAGATAGACACCTCATAGGACTATTGAATATTTAACGTCCTTATGGGTGTGTATGTTAGAGTGGATTAGAGAAGATTGAGATGGTTTACATAGGTATGGTGCATGTGAATAGACTAAAAAAGATTGAGATGGTCCATATAGGTATGATATATGGGTGCATATGAATGTATGTTTGTTTGTGTTAAAAGGGTGTACATGGATATGTGTTTGTTTGGATTGAGAATACCCTATAGGATTAGAGAAGATTGAGAGAATGGTTATTAGTTATAAGTGTTTGATTTGATTTATATGTTTGTAATTTTTTATAACTAGTCTATCTTTTTTTTCATCCATGGACATAGGTCAATTGAACTAAACCACGTTAAATTATTATCTCTTATATGATTGATTAATTATTTAATTTTGCATCTGTTGGTGTGATTAAATTTGTTTTCGTTGGTGTAATTGGATTTGGGCTATTTAGCCCAATAAGTGGTATCAAAGCTATGCTGATCCCAACAAGTGGTATCAAAGCCAAAGGTTTAAGTCGTGGGAAGAGCTTATGGTTCGAGCCATAAAAAAAGGTAAGCTTAGAGGAGCTCAATTCAAAAAAAGAGTTTAAGATCAAATTTTGAGAATTAAAGATTAATTTGCATGAAGCGTGAAGACACATAAGAGAAGATGATTATAGAATTTTCATTGCAGATGAAGTCAAGTATGTCTAGCATAAAGACATATGATTTGAAGAAATTTGAGTCAATGTAGAGATTGTTAGAAATATTTACTCAAATCCTATAACATATTTGTTTGGATTGGTTAGATATTAGTTGATGGACAAAAAGACTTGCAGAAGAAGAATTCTAAGAGAAAATAGATTCTTAAAAGGTAAGTTTAACTTGCAAAAGAAGAATTTTAAAAGAAAAAAGATTCTTAATAGGTAAGTTTGTATGGTTATAAATAGATAAATTCTCTATAGAGTTAGGTATGAAAAAAAG